ATCTTGTCTTATGGCATGACAAAAAATGTGTCAGAGAGATATTAAGTAATTGAGCATGGGGGCCCACCTAGAAGACTTGTACCTAGGGCCCAGAATTTGGTGCTACGCCCCTGCTAACGGCACACATCATCTGAGGTTTAGGAGCAAGGGTCAAACCCACAACTGGTTCCAGATCCAGATCATCTTCCAAAACTCCAGGTGGAGCAGTGAAAGAAAACTGCTGAAGGAGAGAGGTGAAGAACAGGAAGATCTCCATTCTAGCCAGGCTTTCTCCAAGACATACCCTGCGACCTGAAAGATGGAGTAAATTGGTGCGTCGTCTATGAATGGTTATCCACCTCCGTTGTGGCCTTTTACTATAAGCTACAATCGACCTAATATCAACTTCAGTATGATTTGTACATGTTTCATGTATAAAAAGCAATGTACCTGCAGAAAAGGGCATGAAGGCATCTCTCCTGATGAATTTACCATTTTTATCGAGGAAATGAGAAGGGTTAAAACTGCGAGGACTCTCCCACTCGCTCTCATCATACAGGACAGATGTGAGAAGAGGGAAAACCGTTGTTCCCTGTAGACAAAACAATCTGAAACCTTTAGACAAATTGACATTGAAAATAATAAATTGACAAATAATGGACTAATCTTTGTTTCTCCAAACTGAGGTTATTCTCAGAGCTCTACATGAAGAACATTAGAATCATTTCACAGAGCCCCGCGTTTAAAGACAATAAAGTGAAACAGCTGACCTTTTTGATGGAGTAGCCCTGAAACGTGACGTCTTTGCTTGTGGTGTGAGGAAGCGCCAAGGGGGCGATGTTAGCCATTCTCTGAGTCTCATGGACAACAGCATCAGTGTACGGCAAGTTCTTCCTGTCCTCTATCTGAACCTGCCGGCTTCCAACCACCCTGCTCAGCTCCTCCTGGACCCGATCTGGATCCACAGTAAAATTTTAGACTCAGACATCAGATCAGTCTTTACCCAGCATGTAAGACGGGTCTTAGGATGAACCTTGAATGTGTGGAAACCTGGCCATATAAAGGAGACTCCACTTCAGTGTGACTGCTGTGGTATCAGTCCCAGCAGCAAATATATCGTCTACGCAGCAGAGCAGGTTGTCATCATGATAGAGGGAAATACAGCCCCCTGAATCCTTTTGTAAAAAGAAAAATTGTTACGTTTTAAACAGTTTTAAAGTGCAAAGTGCAGTGAAAAGACTCATAACATATAGAAACAGCATTCCCTCGCCCCTCTGGAACCAGGCCTGGAGGTTTGTCATGTTAGCGAGCACCTGGAGGCTGGGCCGGGCACAGCCCAAAGAGAAGCCGTGGGTCCCCCTTCCCATGGGCTCACCTCTCGTGGCAGGGACCTAAGGGGTCAGGTGGCTTGTGCTTATGCACTAAACTACAGGTCAGACCCACCCTTTTTGGAGTCTTTGGTTCTAGTTGAACCTTGAATTCAGGAGAATCAACTTGGTTTTCGTTCTGGCCGTGGAACACTGGACCAGGGGTCTCATTTATAAAAACATTGCATAGAATCCTTACTAAAACCGTACTTAAGCTCAGCAAAAAAAAAAAAAAGTACTTACACCAAGGAGGTTTGTGACCTATAAAACATAGAGTGTGCACAGATTCACTCAGTCTTCGCTTTATAAATCACAAACTACCTAGGAATGTGCTCAGGTGTTTCTGGATCACATCCCGCCCTCAACACGCCCACTTTCTGCCATAAATGGTCAATGCAAAGTGTCTTGTGGATCTCATGCATATACTAAGCCAGCTCATTGCAGCATTTCACGATTAATGATGGCGACTGCAGATCAAGGAAGATCAATTTCACCAAAGCCGAAATTGAGGTACATGTGGGTGAGGTGGAAAATGAAAGGAAGTGCTTTTGCAAAACAAATAAGAGAGAATTCACAGAGTGGCACAGCGTTGCTAAATCCGTCAATGCTGTGAGTTCTACACAGAGATCTGTGTCAGATATAGAAAAAAAGGTCCGATCTGAAGGTGGAGGCAAAAAACCGCCAGAGTGTGTCTGCCACTGGCGGAGGCCCTGGCACCTGTGATCCCCCACCGCTCGCTGTTAGGATCTCAGCAGTACTCGGACCGGCAAGCTTGCGTGGCATCATGCCGGAGAATGAGGGGCACACTGACCATGCAGAGGAGACTGGTATTGTTTAAGCCTTTTGTTAATACAGATCAAATGTGTCCATTAAAATATCAAATAAAACCAAATCTCATTGTTTCCCCCCAGTGACTCTGGACGAAACGTCCAACGAGACATCCCAGGTGGCAACCAAAGATGTGGCTGCAGGGTCGGCCTGTCTCACCAGTGTGCCTCGGGCGCATGACGCACCTGGAAGTGGCCGGGTGCTAACTGACACTGTCCTGTTGTTCTGTGTGAACACGAAGCAGTACAAGCGGTACAAGTGATAATGCTGCAGGATTTCGTAATTGTATCTTCTCAGCAGCAGCACTGCAGGTGCTCTCTATGTCCAAAATGTGCGTAAGCAAGGTCCTTAGTCACCTTAAAGTTGCGCACACTTTTCTGCTACGTTATCTTTTACAAATCCCAAAGTTTGCGTGGAAAGTTGCTTATGCAGTTTTCTGACCCCGTTTTGTAAGCAAGCGTTATAAGCAAGCCTCAGCCCAGGGCGTTCCTGGAAGTTACATGGGAATTTGCCTAACCAATTTACATGTGTTTTGTGGATTTGGAGAATACGTTTGACCACGTCCCTCAGGGGGCCCTGTGGGGGGTACTCTGTGAGTATGGGATACCAGGCCCTCTGATATAGACTAGTTTTCCATAAGCACTACTCAGTCTGAAACACCTCTGTTGCTGGACAGTTTGCTCAGTTTTGTCAGACTCTCTGAACCAGGAACTGGCTGCAAGCAGTGAAACAAGGCAGAAAACCCCAGAGCGACTCTGTCCCCTAGGGAACCAGCAACCAGAATCACAATGCCGGCCTGACTCAGACTTGCCAGGTACCTCAACAGAGCAGGGACTAAAAATAGGGGAGAAAGTAGAGGGCAAATACTGAACCGTGCCCGTGGAAACTGGTTGGCCCAAGCTGCATCGGTCCGAGTTACTCTGAGTAGTACTCCTGGAAAACGACCATAGGTCCCTGTATGTTCGGTGCCAGACAAGTCATAATAGTTTCTGGTTGGAGTTGTCCTCTGCCAAGGCTCACCAATTCTGTTCTCAACTTTCATGGAGAGGTGCAGCTAAAGTGTTGAGGGGATCCGTTTTGGTGGCCAAAGGATCAGCTCTCTGTTTTTTGTAGATGATGTGGTCCTATTGGCTTCATCAGAACGTGATCTCCAGCTTTCACCGTAGCGGTTTGCAGCTGAGTGTGAAGCAGCTGGGGTGAGAATCTGCACCTCTAAATCTGAGACCATGGTCTTAAGTCGGAAAAGGACAGAATGCCTTCTTTGGGTCAGGGAAGAGGTCAGTGGCGGCTGGCCAGTAGAGGGCGATAGGGCGCCGCCCTCCCAGTTTCCCCAGTGTTTTTAATTTTTATTTAAAAAAATAAATAAATAAAATTAACAATAATCACATATTCTAAGTTAATTGTGTGTTTTGTAACAAAAAAAAAATATATATATATATATATATTGGTCTCTGCCGATCTCTGCCGGTCTCTGCCGAGCGGTGGAGGCTGTGTGCTGTTTTTCAATCGCCCAAACAAGACGGGACCAGTTGTCCAATTGCTGACAAGAAAATCAAAGGGTAGGAATGGGAATGTATCCAATCAGCGTCGACGTTGTTTCAGAACGTTTCAGAAGCATGATGGGCGATAGAGCTACCGCCAAGGCTTTCGTTGGTGTTCGGTAGAACTCTGAGAGTCTCGACTCCAGCACGTTTTTGGTAGTGACTCGTGACGCAGACGTAGACATGGACGCCAGTGCGCCTACAACCAGGATACCGGATCTCAGCAGCCACTGAATTCAGTTCGGTCTCTTCTCCAGTATCCGTTCGAGAGGAGAACTATGGTGGAAAAACTTAATGTCAAAGAGCTTGGACCAGATCAGCCCGACGTAAAGATAAGCCAGCAGGACAAGGAGAAGGGTAAACTGTACACACGAGGCTTCTCCCCAAATTGGTACACCAGGAAGCAGTGGCTAGCTGGATGCAATCACACTAATGCGTTATTTTGCTTTCCGTGTTTGTTATTCAGAACGGCTGGGATCCACAGAAGGTGGATGTGGAACTTGTGTCTCATTGGGGACTCCATTCATTCTCTGACTGAGGAATGCAGCGAATCAGTGCAGCAGCCAACAAAGAAACGGAGGACGTTTGGACAGGGAGAAGAGCAGCTGGGTGCAGAGGTAAGCTGTACATTACATTTCTGTAAACAAGACAATCAGAATCAGAAATCCTTGGTTGTCCCACAAACCGGGACATTTGTTTAAAGGAGACATAACATGAAAAACACACTTTTTTATCCATTAACACAGCGTGTTTCACATTTTAAGTGTCTAAGTGAGCAAAAAGGCTTATATTATTCACTGGAGTTGCTATTTAGATATTTAATAATTAAGTTTTGGGCATATTTGTCCACCCGTTCAGTTTTTCAAATTATCTATTACATCAGTAATTTATTTCGTCAGGATAACTTCCAAATATGGTAATGGCCCTCAGCTAAACACAGAGCCAATCCGCCATTTTTTCTTCTCGCTAAGATTTTTTGTAGTCCTATTGGAAAAATGCAGAATGTCTGGCAGAGGCGGAGCTGGCCTAAATGGCGCCCTGTGCGAGATCCCCCTGTGACACCCCCCCCACACACACACACACACACACACACACAAGAAAAAACATTACACCTACAACTTTGTTTCAAATTGCGTGGAGTGTATTATATATAACAACGTTTGCTGTCTGAATACAACATCCAGCTCCTGGCCACCTTCTCACCACTTGTCAAAGTTCTACTGAAATAGACACACTTAACGCAACATGATGGCATCATCGACTTGTACAGTACAGATGTGCTGAAAGGCGAGAGTCTCAACTTTCAGCTAAAAAAAGAACGCTCTAGCTATTATAGTTTTTATTTTATGGCAGTTTTCAGTTTAAACGGGATCTTACTAGCAGGGCACCTCCAGCAGCCCGCTGCCGCTTCGTTTTTCATGGGGTAAATAATAGCTCATTTCCCGATTCCAAAAAGAAAGAATGGTCCTACCAGCTCGCCACTTCAATATGAAGAAGATCAGTTCAACATGGGGAAAAAAAACCTGACCTGTAGGCCAGAGAAACGTTCATTAGCACATCAAGTTCGATTCAGTTTACCGGTAAACATATCACGAATGTACAACAGGTCAATTATTAATCATCTTGGCTACGTAGCTTAATCTATACATTCCAGTAGCGTTTGCTACAAACAAATACAAAAACAACAATAAAGGAAAGCAACTGTCTGACAGACAACATAGCCGAATTCAAGGCAACACATAACAATAATCATTCGATTGCTCTTGGTTTTAAGTTAAGCCCATTAAAGTGCTTAAGTAAATAAAAGTGTTTCAAAAACAGCGTTTTTGAACCGGAGTTCTGCTCGCGGTGGGAACTCCGCCGAACAGGGTCATTTTTTATAGCGAAAACGATCGACTGGTCACTGACAAGTAAAAGGGTGTTATTGGTAGATGTTAAGAACACTTACCGCTGAGGTAAAATGAGAGTATAAATGAATTGAGGGGAGAAAAACGCTTTGTTTTTAGCCCGGACGTATTCCCCCACAGCCAGCTTTCATTGTTGCCGCGACGTGGAAGGAGCCAATCAGGAGAGGGACCTCACATCAGCTGACGTGGGTCATGTGACAGGGAGTAGTTGATATGGGTTACACTTTGCTGTGCTTTTATTACAGAAATAGTATTATTATCATCACTATTATTAAGAACATGCGATTTCTATGTTTTGTTTATGTATTGGTTGATGCTTAAAAAAAATTTTTTTAGAAGAAAAAAAAAAAAAAGGAAATTAAATGCCGCCACCTGCAGACTGCCGCCCTGTTCGGCCGCACATATTGCACATATCAAGCTCCGCCACTGATGTCTGGTTATTTTAGCCACACACAGCTCAAAACTGTTCCTCGTTTTAAGGAAGGGTGGTGTGGCAGTATTTAAACCCAGGAGCTGATGACACTACTGCTAAAAAAACACAGAAGAAAAAGTAGTGTGTATGTGTGTGTGTGTGTGTGTGTGTGTGTGTGTGTGTGTGTGTGTGTGTGTGTGTGTGTGTGTGTGTGCGCGCGCGCGGTTCGTTCGTTCGTTCGTTCGTTCGTGTCTCCATAGTGGCTAAGTACTGAGGGCTTCATCTATCTAAAAGGAGTAATTTCCATCTGAATGTGGCAGCAACGGGACACAGCAGCAGAGCGGTAAGCTTCATATCACTCTAAAATGTCGACAAACTTTACTTTAGATTTACGGGCATTAGCAGCACTAAAGCGTTAGCATCCGGCTTGCTATCGCTAGCACAGTATGCTAGTAAAGTTAGCACCCAGATTATTGTGGATTTGGCTGATTTTCGTGGAATAAAACGTGATTTCTGATCAACGCCTTATTTTACACCAGTTGTACATCCACTGATTGTAGCAGCAGAGAGCCTGTGTGTTATTTTACGTGAGTGTGATAAAATTAGCATCCAGTAAATAAAGTCCCATATCAGCTAAAATGCAGCGTGACAAAGTCATTAAAGTGCGTCAACACAGTGGATTTAATAGTTTTAAAGGAAAATCTCTGAGTGACGTGAGGTTAGTTTTTTGTCTCACTGCAGATATAAAAACTAACTCTGCATCAGTCAGACGCAGCAAAGCTCACCGTCTGTATGAGCGTGAGCGTTGGAAAGCTGATAAAATCAGCTGTAAAATAATTAAAACAAAAGTAAAAATGCTCCTTTGCTTTTTACAGTCCACATCCAGAAGGCTGGAGCCGTGTTTCACTGACAGGCTGTCAGACTAAACCCTGATGAGCTCAGCTGGGACAATCTGGTCTGATGTTTAGGTAAGTGAAGATCTGCTTCTCCAAGTCCTTGAGATGCTAGTAAAAATAATTTAGCCAGCTTGCTAATGTTACTTTTCTTCTCCTCTAAGGAACACAGAACTTTCAGATGTTGGACCTTCACATCACCTACTGAGGAAGGAGACCCACCAGTAAAGAGACGGTCTGGACCAGACCAAAGTGAGTGATGACACCTCAGCCACCCTCATCATTAAGAACACCTCACCACCTGAATCCCTCCGTCTGATGACAGCAGAGTGATTTATTTGATGTTTTACTTGTTTAGTCTGTTTAGAAATTATTAAATTACATTATTTTCTGTAAACAACCATCTGATCTGGATGTGTGCAGAATAACTTTCCCCAAATTCGACAGCAGCTGGCCTACAAAAACAGCTGCAGCATGTAGTAAGTCTGTCTGCGCTGCTCTCTAATGAGCTTCCTTTCATAAGGAATCATTTATATAATTTTAGTGTCACTATTTTATTACATTTGTAAGAATATGAAGTCACTGCAGCAAAGTGAACTTGTGAACAAACACAAACGTGACTATAAACATGAAAGCTAAAGAACCAACTTTCCTAAAGCTGCTTGTAGACAAACATGCCATTAAAGTTATTGTCTATCATTGCAGAATATGGCGATGACATCATGGAACTGGTCATTGGAAAAGTTTTCTCTGAACCAACTCCGTTTCTAGATGAGGTAGAGAAGATCTGCATCTCACCAACCCTCTGGTCTCAGTATTCAGACAACGGAGGTCTCCCACTGTTATCCAGGACCAGTTTGAAGCCCACATACTGCCCCTCCCTCATCATCAGGAAACATCAATCCGTATCCTGAGGACAACAGAAGACAACAGGAGGACAGGAACTCTGAGACCTAGATACCACCAGCACCGAGAGACAAAGCACCTGTGTGCACAACGCCTGTTTAACTACTAAAGCCTGTTTATTATATTGTTCTACTTATTTGAGAACCAGAAATGTTTTATTGTCCCAAAAAGTGAGAAATATGACATTTGTAAGAGGATACTGATGACATTATTTCCTATGAAAGTGTTTCCACTTTCCATAAGTCCTAACAGTGTAAATTTCTGGCATTTTGTCTAAGTAGTGTTTACTACCATTACTGTAACAGTGACCTGCTCATAATTTTTCGTGTTCACTCAAATGTTGAAATTAAACAAAATGTTTGTTACTTGCCTCTTGCATTGCCTATTTACCATTTATGGTCATGTTATTTTATGTGCAATTTAATGCAGTGTTTTTCAACCTTGGTCTGCAAGGCAGTTTGCCAATAGTCAGACACACCTGGATTAATCAGTTTGTCCAATAATGTAAGACAGGAAATAAAAGAGCTGTGCTTAATTCAGGAAATAGTGAAGTTGTGCACAAAGCTCAGAAAGCACAAGTTTGTTTAAAAAAATAGCACAGCCCCACCAAAAATATTTTTCACCAGCCGCCACTGGATGAGGTCCTGCCCCAAGTGGACGAGTTTAAGAATCTGGGGGTCTTGTTCACGAGTGAAGGAAATATGGAGCATAAGATCGATGGTAGATTGGTGCTGCATCTACAGTTATGTGGGTGTTCTACCAGTCTGTCGTGGTGAAGAGAGCTGAGCAGGAAGGTGAAACTCTTGATTTACCTGTCGATGTACATTCCTTCCCTTATGAATGAGCAAGGTCACGAGCTTTGCGTAGTATCCAAAAGAATGAGATTGCGGATGAAAGCAAACAAAATGACTTTTCTCCACAGGATGTCTGGGGTCTCCCTTCGAGATAGGCTAAGACAGGCTAAGACGCTTGGTCATCTGGTGGGAGCTTGGAGTAGATCCGTTGCTGCTCCACATCGAGAGGAGCCAGCTAGGGTGGCTTGAGCATCTAGTTGCTCTAAATGCCTCGTGGACACCACCCAGGTGAGGTTTTCCGGGCATGTCCATGTGAGAAACCCCAGGACACCCCTGAGGCACTATGTTATTTGGCTGGCCAAGGAATGCTTTCGGATTCCCCCGGAGGAGCTAGCCCAGGTGGTTGGAGAGAGGATGGACCTTAGGTTGCTGCCCCAGCGACCCAACCTTCTTGATTACAAGAAGGTCAGCACGGTCAGCACAATTGGTGTTCAGCCCACTGCATCTCTCGCAGACGAGGTCAACAACTTTTATGCTCGTTTCGATGAAGATAACAGAGAGCAGATCCTCTACCCTCAGGAGGACAGTGGGGCTGTAACCTTAACTCTGAAAACAGAAGCTGTGAGATGGACCTTCAAAAAGGTCAATCCTCACAAAGCTCCAGGACCGGACGGCATCCCAGGCCGGCTACTCAGAGTGTGTGCAGACGAGCTGGCAGAGGTTTTTACCAACATCTTCAACCTCTCCCTGAGGCAGTCGGTGGTCCCCACGGCCCTCAAAGCATCCACCATCATTCCTGTTCCCAAAAAATCAGTAGTCTCCTGTCTGAATGACAACCGTCCTATGGCGCTGACATCCATCATCAAGTGCCTGGAGCGGCTGGTCAAATGTCACATCTGCTCCTCTCTCCCTGACACACTGGACCCTCTTCAGTTTGCCTATAGGACAAACAGAGCCACAGAGGACGCCATCGCCCTAGCAACACATACCACCCTCACTCACCTGGAGAAAGGGAATACATATGCAAGAATGCTCTTCATCGACTACAGCTCGGCATTTAACACCATTATACCCTCAAAACTTGCCACGAAGCTTGTCGACCTTGGCCTGGGAACACCGATCTGCAGATGGATTCTAAACTTCCTTACAAACAGGCCCCAGGTGGTGAGAGAGGGTAAACACATTTCCTCATCACTCATCCTAAACACAGGTACATCCCAGGGTTGTGTGCTTAGCTCCCTCCTATATTCCCTGTTCACACACGACTGTGTTGCAAAACATGAGTCCAACATCGTCATCAAGTTTGCAGATGATACGACCATCATAGGCCTCATCACAGGGAATGATGAGACGGCCTATAGAGAGGAGGTGACGGCATTGCACAAGTGGTGCCTGGATAATAACCTGTCTCTCAACATCAGCAAAACAAAAGAAATGATAGTGGACTACCGGAAATGACCAGTCAGGGAACACCGACCCATCCACATCAACGGTGTCATGGTCGAAAGGGTCAGCAGCTTCAAGTTCCTTGGAGTCAACATCACTGAGGACTTCTCCTGGACCCTCCACACAGACGCTGTTATCAAGAAAGCTCGCCAGCGGCTTTACTTCCTCAGGAGGCTAAGGAAGTTTGGCATGAACACGAGTATCATCTCAAAGTTCTACAGGTGTGCTATTGAGAGCTTGCTGTCGAGCTGCATCACAGTTTGGTATGGAAGCTGCTCTGCCAGCAGCTGTAAATCACTACAGAGGGTGGTGAAAGCAGCAGAGCACATCACTGGCACAATGCTTCCTGCCATTCAGGACATTTATCTCCAGCGATGCCTCCGGAAAGCACACAGCATCATCAAGGACCACAGCCACCCAGCGCATCAGCTGTTCTCCTCATTACCATCTGGCAGGCGTTACAGGAGTCTGCCTGCTCGGACTACGAGACTTAAAAACAGTTTCTACCACCAAGCCATACGACCTCTCAACCATTACACTTAAACACACACAACACAGGATACAGATGTTACCCTGCAGCTCCACAAGTAAAATTTAACCTGCACTGGTTACTTCATTTTAATGTTACTACTCACTTTTTTTAGATATATTTATATTTAGTCATCTATACTTACTTGTCTATTTAGTAAGCTTTTACTTTTAGCATGACTCTCTAATATTTTGCTTTTACTGTATTATACCTTGTCCTTTTTTTCTATTGTATTATGCTGCTGAGAGGCCGCTGCACGTCAAACACATTTCATTGCAATGTTGACCCTGTGCTAACTTGCATATGACAAATAAAACTAAATTAAACTAAACCCCAGATAAGCAGAAGACAATGGACGGATGGATGAACAGTTATAACTTTATGTCACTGATTCAGCAGAGTTTATCAGCTCACCTCCAGATGTTTTTTATGCATCAGGAATGCATCAATGAAACATCTGCACATCTCAGGGTCCAGAGTCTCCTTCCGGTCTGATATAATGCTCCTTAGGTCCCTCATACCGAGATCCCTCTTCCTTATCAAGTCCCTCCAATTTTTAAGGAAAGGGCCCAGTTGAGGAAAAAGGTTGTAAATCTGATGTAACAACAAAAATGGGTTTGAGTTTTTAACAAATGGAACAATTACACCTTTGGCGTGATTTCTACAGAATGGAATTCATTTACATTTTAAACACATGAGATTCACATTTCGTTTAGTCTATTATCAAATATCTTCCTGTTTTGTAATACCATACCATACCAGTTTATTTATAAAGCACATTTAAAAACAGCATGGCAGCTAACCAAAATGCTGTACAGGAGAGCAAAAGATTCACAAACAACAACAAAGACAGCATAGGAGTAAAATATGAAGCTAAAAACATATAACACACATAAAAGAAAGGCATAAAATTACATTAAAAGTAACTGAGCAACATTAGTGAGCTAAAAAGTACAAAAGAACGTCACAAGCTGCTGCTAATGGAGAAGTGTCACACTGATGAATGAAGACAGTCATGTGGGAAAAGCCAGACTGAAAGTGTGTTTTAAGGGCGGACTTAAAGCTACAAAGGGAAGGTGGCTGACGCAGTAACCTTGATATATTTGCATCTTCATTAAAATACAACAAAGTCCTTACTGAGTGTAATTTCAAACTCTCAATTTAACATCTTAAAACATCAAGTTGCCTTTTTCTTTTTTCCATGCAACACTTTTAAGCATTTCTAAATCTAACTAAATGCAGGTTTTTGTGCATTCAGAGTTACCAAATAGTTGGTGAACTGTAAAATAAACAGTTTTCTAAATGCTAAAGTTTTTGAATTGTTGCCATACCATGATAGAAGTTGATCCAATCAGATTAACAGTCTCATTGTCTCTGTTCACCATATCCTGAAACACCGGGTCTTGGTAATCAAACCTCTTCCCAAACAACAAAGCTGCTATCACATTGGAAGCAGCGTAGTTGATGGCCTGAGAGTTTTTGAAGGGCTTTCCTGTGACAACATGAGAACATAAATGTTACAATACCACTAGACAAACGACCCCTGGGTGATGCGCTGGTTAGAAAAAAAACACTGAAGAGTATTTGTGAGAAAACATGGTGTGAGATTGTATTACCCCAAAGACGACCACAGATGTTCATTTGAACATAAAAACATGCATGAAACGTTGAACCTGAGCATGTTTTGTGAAAACACAGACACGTGCACCAGATGTACCTTTGAACTGCGTGAATTCTTTAATCAGATACTGGCATTCCTCTGTAATCCTCTCTTCACTCATCTTCCTGCCCATTCCAAACTGTTTCAGAGTTGTCAGAGCAAAACGCCTCATTTCTTTCCATGAGTCTCCGTTGGAAAACAGAATTGCTGGAATGAGAAGAAAGAGTTTGTTTTAATGAAAATTGCCTCAGTCACCTTTACAAATAATATGTTTACCATGCCCCTGGTGGAAATCGTAGAAAATTGGAGTGATATCTCTATTCCCAAATTCCTCAGCGTGGTTGACCAGAGCCTGTTTGACTGTCCTGTAACCGGTCAGAACCACCACCTTCTGTGGTCCAAAGTAGACTTGGAAAACTGGTCCGTATTTTTTGGATAACTGGAAACATAAAGTAGTTTACACAAACCCGTCTTCTTTATGAGACTTACCAAACTCTTAAGATAAAACTGAACTTTACGCACATTAAACAGACTCTGGTCCAGTCTCTTCAGATCCACCTGAAACAGATTACCAATCAGAGGAAGCCCTCTGGGTCCTGGAGGTTCTCCACGGGAGCTGAGGCTGGAGTAAAGAAGGCGGAGGAGCAGCAGAGCAAAAAGCAGCCCCAACAGGGAGACTGAAGTGGGGGACTGATAGATGACTTCCAGCATGTTGCTCTGATTAGCTGTGAGCCCCTCTGAGAAACAAACCTTTAGATTGAGATGCTGTTTGACTGAACATTCCAGTCTTCTCCCAGCTGCTATCCCAGCATCAGACAGGCTGATTAGTGTCCCACAGGAAGTGAGTGTGGATGTCTCTCTGTGGCCTGGAATGGACTTGAGACCTGTCCAGGATGTACCTCGCCTGATGACTGCTGGAGCTGGACAATAAGTTTCTGACCAATGTGGTTGTTCCTTCTCCCTGTGTGTAGTAGTTTAGCATTGTTCATTTTAAGGCAACAGTGCCCCCTACAGTTACAATAACAGCAAAATTAACCAAAGAAACAAAACAAGGCACAAGAACATGCTGGGAAGAAGTGGCGCAAAAACAGAAGAGTATAAGAGACCGAAAATACAGACATGAAATGAGCCTCTTGCATCGTATAAATCTTCCATTGGGGCTTGTCTCTTCAGGGTCTCCACAGGCAACCATTGGTCTAGATTTAGTTATGTCTTCTGCACCTTCCACCCTCACACTATTAATATCCTCCTCTCAGCCTCCTGCCTGCATGGTGGCTCTAACCTCAGCATCCTTCTCCCTATGTAGTCATCATGTCCAACCCACCTCAATCTGGCCTCTCCGACTTTGTTTCCAAAGCATCTATAGACCAGCTCAGTGGCCTAGTGGTAGAATCTCTGCTGGGACTGGGAGATTGAGGTTTGACTCCCAGTTGGGTCATACCAAAGACTTTTAAAATGGGACTCAATGCCACCCTGTTGAGGTTGGATTGGTGGGTTAAACCACCAAATAGTTCCCTAGCACAGCCATTGCTGCAGCTCACCACTCCCCTCCATGGGATGGATCAAATGCAGAGATGAATTTCACCAGTGTGTGATGATGACTTTAACTTTAACATGCGCTGTCTATCTGATGTCCTCATTCCCATCCATCCTTGTGTGGCAAGGTGGATAAATGAGGGCCCGGGCGGGATTCGATCCCCAGACTCTCGGGTGAGAGTCATACGCTCTAACCAGTCAGCCAAAGTGACATCCCCTTGGCCAAGTAGCCAGGGTGCATTATCTATCGGGACATTGTGACAGGACGCTCACACTGTCACACTTGTCACTCAACAGCTTGATCTCCAGTATTTTCTTTGTTGCCACTGTCAGTGAACCAAACAACACTGGTCTCACTGTCTTGTTCACTTTGCCCAAAGACACAAAAACTGTCTCAGACACAGCCTGGGTTTGAACTGGCAACTGACCAGTTACAGGGAAAATTCCTGTCACCAATCACAGTTGCCCTGAAGCACCCGTGTTCTGTTTGTCTCAGTGAAGAGAAAACAGTGAGGAATTTCCTTATCTGATTATCAAACTTCACTTTTTTATTTCATTGCAGACATGTTGTAATTTAAAGGAGAGGTTTAATACATTTGCAGAGGTCTCTAGTAGGAGTGAATGCCTTGCAGACAGAACTCAGGGTATAAAAGCTCAAAAAACCCCAGCTCAGATGGACCAAGTCTGAGTTGAATTTCAAACGCAAGGATTTGGAGTTTTATTTCCTGATATGTAGACATCCTGCCTTGGACTGGGTAAAAGCAACGTGACTCTACCACTGAGTCTGTTTGCTCGGGGACATGGAAGTTTTATCTCTACAAATACCTGGAGGGGCTTCAGCTAGGTGAGTGAGTTGCTAATGGTAGAAGTTAGCTTCCATTATCTGCTGGTTCCTGGACACTAAAATAATCAACAGCTTTCCCCGTCGTGAGTCAGTATGTTCGAAGTCCAATCTACAGTGTGATGTAGATCTGTCCGGCTTTATAAATCCTAGAGTTTCACCGTCTATTTTCTGGCAGAAGCTAATGCAGGAGATAGGTGTAGGCAGAGCCGGATTAAATAAATGGACTACACTAGGCAGGCTGCATTTTTAGGGCCCCCCCTCCATCGATGTTATGTAATGAATTGAAATCTGAAACTTACCAAATTTACTTATAAAAGTTCATTCACATTTTACATAGCCTAGTTTTTGGTTACAAATTGGTTGTTTGTATGCCAAAATAAGTCATGTGTTGTAGGCTGTTGCCTCTGCTGAATCAGAAATTCTGTCAATTTTCTGAGTGTGAACTTATTGTTTTGCTACTTGAACATTAATAAAATTATTTGACAAATAATTAATAAAACCAGCAACACTTACCAAGGAAACCATTTAGCATTCTCTACTCCGGGATAATCTTCAGCCTTCCAGCATCACAGGGCCTCAATCACAGCAGAAACACGTCTAAAGAAATGTTCCTTGGTTAAGCTTCAGTCTATGTCTCCAGATTTCCTCTGTGATGCAGAAGAATATCCAATATTTTGAGAGGGATAGTTTAGTGCAAAGTACTCATCAGTTTGGTACCACTTTGCAGGATCAGATGGGTAGTTGTTAATACCCTGTCTGGGTCTAGGGGCTCCTGTAAGACTATATTGGGCTCACTTCTGGCTGGCTGCTGTTCTTCCAGTTTGTCCTTCTGTGAAGGCGCTGATGTTGACGGCGTTGGCGCTACAGCATCTTCCGCCACATCTTCCACCGCGTCTTCGGGTTGTGTCTCCTCCGGGTCTGACTTGGGCCCGGCCTCTGGCTCTGCTGACTCGAGCATGTTCACAGCTGTCGGACGGCTGCCCGAGCAACCCGACAGAAACTTCTGTAAAGCCCCCCGCTGTCTCTTCTTTAGTTCCTCTTCATTTAAATATTTTTCTTTTTTACGTTTTGCCGCACCCGAAAGCATCGTGAAAGTTAGCCTACTCAAAAACACCTGCTAGCTTTCTTGTGTCCCGCTCTAACTCTGACCGCTTCTCTGACATCCTTCATTGGGTGGCGCCTTAACCCTCTGGGGTCCAGGGTGTAATTTGCAGTGAGTTTTCCTTTGTATTTCCAAAATAAAAACCATAATGACTGCCTTATGTGGTATCAATCTTTTCAGCACAACCTGGACTTTATGAATCTATACTTATTTTGTATATTTGGACATAAAGGGGTTGCGTATTAGACCTTAAATCACTCAAAAACATAAAATCTGAATAGGAAAAAAGTTGTTTATTTTACTGTGAAACCAACAAACATTTATGACAAATGTTTTTTATCATTTAGACTGGTAATCTAGACTGTACATTTATAAAAAATATGACTAAATATAGCAAATAACTAATTTAAAAAGTTATTAGCTCTCTGGGATCCAGAGTGTAAATCACCGTTTTTGACTCATTTTGGTTTTTCTTTTGTATTTTCTAATAAAAACAATAAATATTGCCTTATGGGGTATCATTAATTTCAAGTCAACCTGGACTATCTGAATTTATACTTATTTTATTAATTTGGCAATAATGTACATGGATTTTGGAGTGGGGAGTGGCTCCGTCTCACGCCGAGATCTGACAGCTGCGCGGCGCCGCCCACTCCTCTTGATGGATCTCCGAGGAGCTGGATCTCTGCCTTCATCCTCTACCTCATCATGACCCAACTCTTCTATGAGGAAGGATGGATCTGCCACATCATCATCATCATCCTCGCTATTTGCCTCAGACTCCGGCTGCGAGTCTCCGTCCACTTCCTCTGCTTCCAGTTCAAAAAACAGCCGTACTATCTGAACTGCCTGGTGGACATTTATCCTTCTCATCATCCTTTATTAAAGCCTAATAAATGCCTACTAAACTGCAGAGACAATATATCTGTCCGGATCGCTCCAAAATACAAAGTTTACCGTCAATATCTGTCTAATTGTTTGTTGTTACTCCGTTCGCGCCACTCCTTTCCCCGCGAAGCGGCTCCTTTTTGCGCACATCTCGTTACTCGTGTGATACTTTTTATCAGCTGAATATGTGAGACGTCCACCAACAGCAAAAGGATCTCGTGTTTTTGTGGGTTTTTAATGTTCACAAGCACATTCCCGCTCACAGATTACTAAACCGCTGTTTTGACAAGTTATCAGATTGTCTAAAAATAGGTCATTTTTTAGTTTAGTATAACTCCGCTTTTACGTTGCCTATTAACAAAATTTAAAAACTGGGGTGTAGTTTATAATCTGCTTTTTAAAGCTGAATTGAAACCGAAACTCAGGGAGGCGGAGTCTTGCTGCTACAGCGTCCCAAATCAGACCTGTTCAAAAGACGCGTATACTCGTCCGTGGACCCCAGAGGTTTAATGTGACGTAGCCAATGAAACGGTCTATGGTTAAGATAAACATTGTCACTATTTTTAGTTAATTAATAAATATTGAAACAAATTGTAGATAGGAGTCCTAGCTACAAATTCTATCATAGGACATGTGTACATTTAATTTTTAATTTATTTATTTATAATTTTGTTCCTCTGTCTGGGCCCCATCCAGCCAATCAGGCCCTATTTTGCCTTTGCGTTAATCCGGCTCTGGGTGTAGGAGACTATTTTCATGTTCAGCCTGCATGAAAAACTCCGAGTGACCCATTATAATCAGAAATAATCATTCAAATGTTTTTTTTTTTCAGTCAACCACAGCTTTATCAAGAGAGGATTGTTCTGATGACGAGGGAATCATTCAGCTAAGAGGGGGTCGTTTCTTCCACTGTTTCCTGGTGCTAGCTCAGAGTGGGTGAAGGCTTGATAGACTAGTACTGCCATTTTACAAATTCCTGAATGGGATAAATTGGGAATGATACTGAAGAGGTTCTGAAGCCAGAGCTGTTCTTACAGTGATCATGATGACTTTTTCAGAACAGCTCCTAAATTGTTCTTTGGTGTTCTGATCCATTTGAGAGAAAACTACCCAAAACTCCTGCTTTTATAAAGCTCCTCAGAATATCTGATGATCATTTACTGAAGTAAATTTATTTTTATAAGCACCTTGCTGCTATTGTCCTCAATCTGTGATTTGAATGTTTTTTGTTATCCAGATTTGTAAAAACAAAGAAGCATGTACAATAACCATGTCTTTATTTGGGTTTACAGACGGGCAGCAGCATTATCAGCTCAATGTGGGTCCCCAATCCTGGTCCTGGAGGGCCGGTATCCTGCATGTTTTAGTTTGAACTCTGTTTCAACACGCCTGATTTCAATCAGCAGCTAATTAACAGGCTTCTGCAGAGCCTGATGAGCTGCTGCACAGGTGTTTCAACCACTGAATCAAGTCTGTTGGAGCAGAAAAACCACTAAACCTGCTGGATACCAGCCCTCCAGAACCACGATTGGGGACCCCTGATCTATAGATCAACTGCTTCCAAAAAACTTCTTCATAAACTCAATGTCATTCATCACTCAGCAATCCGTTTCGTCACTGGTGGCCCTTTCACTACTCATCATTGTGATCTGTGCTATCTTGTTAACTGGCCATCATTCCATTCCGGCAGGTGGTACCAGTTTATATACACACCAGTCATCGGTAGAACACCGTCATGTCTTTGCTCATTACTCATCACGTCCAACAACTAGCACAATTTACGTTCCAGTAACTTCATCTCTAACCCCGGCTTTCCACGGGAGCCGTCAGCAGCACGTTACTGCAGCAGCACGTCATAGCTGCTGATAGGAACCGCTGTGGTCAACAGAACCTTTTCCACTGGAGCCGTCGGCAGCCGTCAGCAGCACGAGTCGGCCGCGTCTCAGGAGCAGCATGTCGCGGCCTTTACGCGCCGGTTCTATTTTCTACGTGCGACGCCTCTGAAACGGGTCAATTTCGACATTTTGGGGGAAGGAAAGACAGGAAATCGGACGCGGAAATGGAGAGAAGCTCTCGAGATTTTCAGAATAAAGAACGTACTGCCTTCCGGTTGCTTTACTTTTAAAAAAGCTTACTAACTGTGCGGCCCCGTGAGAAGTTATCACCTAGCTAGCGGTCTCCTTTGTTTTTCAGGTCCGTATTGGCGATTATAAAACGGACAGAACATAAAACACAAACCATGTTGTAGTTTTCTCCTGCTTGTTGTTGTGTTTATTGACGAAGTCACTCGTGTGACTTCGTGCTCTGTCGGTGACAGCTGCTCCCCTGCTGCTTCGCGTCTCGTGGGAAGGGCCAAGCAGCAGCTTACGCGAGCAAGACGTGCTGCTGACGGCTCCCGTGGAAACCCGGGGTTAGGTTATTCCCAAAGCTCGTGCCTCCTTTGGTCGCTCCTCATTCCAGTTTGCTGCTTCCAACGACCGGAATGAGCTGCAAAAATCACTAAAGCTCACTACCCACATTCCATTATCTACCTTCAATAATTCACTGCAATCAGTAGTTTCTGAACAATGTGCTTCTGAGTACTTAAAGATTGTTTTAAGTTTGTTTTGATTGCTTGTACATATTATATATGAGAACAGTTCTTTGTCTTTAGGAGTTTTATCTTATTTTTATCTTGTATGTTTTATCGTACCTGTTTTTCTTTGATGTAAAGCTAACTGTGTGTCTGTGGCTGCTGCCTCTTGGCCAGATGGTCGTTGTAAATGAGAATAAGTTCTCAATCGACTCATCTGGATAAGTAATGGTTAAATAAAACTAATTCACTCTTTCCTCTCCTCTCAGACTCCCAAATCCTTCCCCCGCTTCATGCCCTTGCAACAACATGCACAAATTAGGCAAAAAGACTAAAATGACAGAAAACAGATGATTACTTTTGTATATGATCACCAAAGGGTGATAACATGGAAGTTCCTGAGATGGGAAGAAGTTGTAAATTGTTAATCAAGATGGTCCATGTCTCAGTAAATCTTTTCTCTACATTTCTTATGTTTATACATTTCTGTCATGATGTAACAAGAACCAGTCAAGCAGTCTGATTCCGTTCCTCAGAGGCGAAGGACAGCACACAGCTTCTGAGGTTTAGGAGCCAGAGTGAAGCCCACAAGTGGTTCCAGATCCAAGTCATCTACTGACACTCCAGGTGAGGGAGTGAAGCGGAAATGCTGAAGAAGAGATGTGAGGAAGAGGAAGATCTCCATTCTAGCCAAACTTTCCCCAAGACACGCCCTGCGACCTGCAAGGTGCAAAGTGTTAGAAAGCTTAAAAAATCAAATGTATGAAATAGGTCGGCAACACACCTGCAGAAAATGGCATGAAGGCATCTCTCCTGACGAATTTACCCTCTTCATCCAGGAAATGAGAAGGGTTAAAGCTGTGGGGGCTCTCCCATTCACTCTCATCATACAGGACAGACGTGAGAAGAGGGAAAACTGTTGTTCCCTGGGATTAAAGTACAGTAGCGCTCATCAGAAGAGACAGTGCTGTTTGTTCAGCTGGATCAGTGTGATCAGCTGACCTTTTTGATGAAATAACCTTGAAAGGAAACATCTTTGCTTGCGGTGTGAGGAATGGCGATGGGGGCGATGTTAGCCATTCTGTGTGACTCGTGGATGACAGCATCAGTGTACGGCAAGTTCTTCCTGTCCTCTGTTTGAACTTGCCGGTTTCCAACCACCCTGCTCAGCTCCTCCTGGACCCGATCTGGTGCCACATTAAAACAAGCTGCTGCAGGCGTCAAACTGGAAACGGCGAACTAAAACAAGCTGGAGGTGTCATGGCTCCCGTCCTTCACCCTCCTCCACTTCCTCATTCAACCATGCATCACACCTGGTCACCTCATCAAGCTCCAGCCAAACTGTTTCCCCCCCAGCAACCACAGTCAACTCACCATCAACATCATCCAAACCACCTGTCTCTCATTAGCTCCTCATCAGCTCATTACACACACCTGCTCCTCCTGCTATATAACTCCCAGCCTGCTCTCCAACCAGTGCCAGATTATTACAGCCTTGCCAGTAGTTCTCCAGCCATCCACCCTGCCTGATCTTTGCCTCTGGTCCTTGTTTTATGCCTGACCCCCGCCTTGTATCCTGCCTGCCATTGTGACCTTCGCCTTTCTCCGACTCTGTCTCCAGCCTCGCCCATCTGGTAACTGCTTGAAATAAAGACTTTTTTATATATTTACTGTGTTGGCGTCTTCACGGGTCTTCTGAGTTCTGTTCATGACAGTAGGAGGAAATTTACCCTGAACCTGAGGAAACTTGGCCATGTAAAGGAGACACCACTTCAGAGTAGTAGCTGTGGTATCAGTTCCAGCTGCAAACAGATTTGCCACACTGTACAGCAGGTTTTCGTCATGGTAGTATGAGCTGCTTGTGTCAGAATCCTGAACACAAAGAGCAAAGATATTCAGCTAGCAGGATTATGCAGAATCGACTGACTGGAGTGACGGCTCACCTCTAGATGTTCTCTATGAAGTAGAAAAGCATCAATGAAGCATCTGCAGAGCTCAGGGTCCAGAGTCTCCTTCAGTTCTGCTATTTTCTTCCTTACATCTGCTTTACCATCCTCCACATTCTTAACAATATCCCTCCAGTTCTTCAGAAAAGGACCCAGCCAAGGAATAAAGTTGTAAATCTAACAAAAAGAAATTAAGTAGATTTACTAATGAATATAAATGCATGATTTCAGATAGTGCTGGTGCAGGAACCTTAACGGTTCCAGTTTACAGAACAGCAAAAATCAGCCAAAGTGTGGACTGATGTCAATTATTTTTCAAGGACTCAAATCTGCAAATTCTGAAGAAAACTTAAATGTTAATAAAAAGTGTTTCGATGTTCAGGATTTTTCAACATTTACTAACAAAAACATATACAACAGAACAACAATTAAAAATAGATGCCCAACCAATTTGTGGTTTAAAATTCTCCAGTTTGATCTCCGAGTTTCGGCCATAAATCACAGCTATGTGTAGCGTTTAAATTCAGGCTCCTGCACTTTCATCCGTTGTCGTTTTTAGGACAAAATGTTTCAATGCTGAGGAAAATATGACATCCAAACTTCTTGCATTTCAGAGGAATAAAGGAGAAACTGGCTGCTTAACCTCTGGCATTTACAACTTTCATTGTTATGCAAACCCCTAAATCCAAACTAACAGGTTTTTCTCTTAATGTCCTTCAAGCAAACATGTCATGATGGTTGTTGTTCTAGAGCCCAATAAGATCATTTTCCCTGTTTGTTTTTCCCTAAAACAATAAGAAATGGGTTTTATGGAGCTCTACATATTGCCTTGTTAATACTGGGTGGAACATTATTATTAGTCTACCTATCTGGCAAAATGTATCATTTTTAATTATCTCCATGTGTAAATGTTCCAGCTACAATCGTAGTGTTCAGAGGAAACTCTTTAGTTGATCATAAAATGGCATTGTGGTCCTCTTCGGGCTCGTCTGACATGGTAGAATTGTTCTGATCAGTTAAAGTTCGACACACAAACCTTCTGCTGTACCTGGATTGACGCAGATCCTGTCAGATGAATGGTCTCGTTATCTCTTTCCACCATAGCTTGGAGGACGGGATCTTTGTAATCAAATCTCTTCCCAAACATCAGAGCAGAGATCACGTTTGAAACAGCATAGCTGATAGCCTGGGTGTTTTTGAAGGCTGTACCTGTGATCAAATTACAAAATAAACACCTGTTTGAGAATCCCTAAATGCTGTTTGGGACAAAATAATTAGAAAAAGTTCACATGAAGAGTAATATTAGTTTCTTTCAGTGTTAGTTAACACAAAACTAATCCTTATACTTCAATCACATCACCAACCTGCTGACTGAGGCACAGACCTGAGTCTATTTCTGTGATCAGGTCACACAGACCTGCTGGAATAACTACACAGTAGATAAAACTTTATAAATTTATGTCTGCATTACATCTAAAGATTTACCTTTAAAAAGCTCAAACTCTTGGATGAGGTAGCGACATTCCTCTATAATTATCTCTTCACTCATCTTCCTGCCCATTCCAAAGTCCTTCAGTGTGGTCAGAGCAAAACGCCTCATTTCCTTCCACGAGTCTCCGTTAGAAAACAGAATACCTGCAAACAAAAAATGCTCGCCTCATTAATCAAAAACAAGCCGTTTCTTTCACATTGGAAAATGTTTTGAGTTTTCCTACCGTGTCCCTGGTTGAAAATATGAAAAATTGGATTAATCTCCCTGCTTCCAAATTCCTCAGCATGGTTGACCAGAGCCTGTTTGACTGTCCTGTACCCGGCCAGGACCACCACCTTCTTTGGTCCAAAGGACACTTGGAAAACTGGCCCATATTCTTTCGACAGCTAAAAACACAAAGCAGCGAAAGCTACAGACAGTTTATCTAAAAGCTACCCACTCTGCAGACAGTTTGGAGAGAAGGTGAACTTAACTCACATTAAACAGGTTTTGGTCGAGTCTCTTCAGATCCACCTGAAACAGGTTACCGATCAGAGGAAGGCCTCTGGGTCCTGGAGGTTCTCTTTCTTTGGGGGAGCTGTGGAACAGGTTGAGAACCAGCAGAACAATAAAAACGCTGAACAGCCAGACTGAAGTGGAGGATTGAAAAACAAGCTCCAACATGTTGATGTGATCAGCTGTGACCTTTAGACCAAGCTGCTGGCTGAACTTACAGTCAGCTTGCTGCTGAAAACCTGAATCCACAGTGAAATGTAGCGTGTTGCAAGCAGAACTTCCTGGTTTCTTTATTTCCTGACACCCTTGAAATAAGAGCCTTGTCTAATGTGAAAACAATGAGTGGATCTGCTGAGGTGTGTTGAAAACATTTCAGTTATAGTGCTTCACTCCCTTCTTGATAAAATATCTGCATTTTTTTGTTTGAACTTGTTCTTTGCTGTGTTTGAATATTCCTTGATTTTTAAAGGTTGAACATGAAACTGACACTGGCAAACACTCTGGCAAACTCTGGTGTTCAGAGGTGGTAATGCAACAGCAGGACTAGTTTTTCAGCCTTGGGGATGTTGGTCCACTGCTGACACGTTCCAGCACCATGTTCAGAGACTAATCCTACAGGATAAGGACTCATTTCAACTAATACGTTATTTACAGTATTTATCATTAGAACATCTTCTGGGCTCAGAACCAGCTGCTTGACTTGCCAGATCTGCCATTTTACACAGTCCCTGCATCACCTTGCTAAGTGGACTTTTGAGCACAACGGTGCCCTCTAGTGGCTGTTAGACGTAAACAAAAATAATGTCGATGGTCATGCCCGACAGAATAAAAATGTGATCAGTGGCGGTTCTACATGGAATTACTCCCCGGGCGAGGCCCCCTTTGAGCGCCCCCCCCCCCCCCCCCACCACCACCACCACCACCCCACCCCACCTGATCGAACACATGCATGTTTTCTACAAACAGGCATGTTTTATTAGAACGACTATTGAACATTCATTTTTCTAAGTTGCACATATTTACATTAATTACTATGAAGTTGTCAGAATGTAAAGCAATATACATTATATACTGTATCAAAATATATAGAATCAAATATACAAAAACAAACAATAACTAAATATTAAGAATATATGAACATAATATATAATAAATATTCTAAATAGCAAAAATATTTCACACATAACAAACTAAAGATAATCACTACAGCATTGCACTTAGAACAAAAAAACACAAACTAAAATTAAAACCTAACCTTGATGCAAAGCCATCAATAATGTCATCATATGAAATCTGCTCCCCTACTGAGTGATTGATACTAATCAGAACCAGGTAAAGCTTGGTTTATGCTTGACGCATTCACTTTCCGCGCGGTGATGCGGCTCGCGGCTGGAACGCGCTTCACAACTCGCAGCGTTTATGGTTTGTGCGGCTCGTCTCTGCGGTGAGCCAATATTCTCCCAAACTGAACGGGCAGCATGGAGCTCTACAGCATGCATCCAACACTACACCATAGTAGAAGTAGAAATGACTGTTTACAACATGGCATTTCAGCATTTTTAACAGCGTTCTTGTGTTTTCAGACAGTGCGAGCTATTTCTCTCCAAGAATTATTAACAACATGTTGATCACGGTGATCTCTGAGAGCTGAATCATACAAATGTCTGTATTTACGAACCTCTGCCGTGCCGGTCCGCCATGTTTTTCCGCGTCCGACCGTCCGCATGGTTAGAAATTTTCCGAGGTGCGCGTTGCGGAAATCTTGGGCCGTGCGGAGACGCGGTGGAGGGGCGTGGTTGTTAAAATGACGCAAAATGACGCAACTTTTCCGCGCGGAGCCGTGCGGACCTCGCGGACGCGTCAAGCATAAACCAACCTTTAGTGAGCCGCCCCTGAAACATAGGTGACCTCAGGTATGACTTGATCAAGTTTTGAAAAGCTCCTCTCAGCTTGAGCCACAGTGACTGGCAGAGCAGTGCAAAAGTTGGGGTAGATCTCCAACAGATCTTTACCATGATCCATAATATTTTAGAATTGCCTCTGAAATTGTAATTTAAACTGACATAAAAAAACTGTAGACTACCAAAAATGCCAACTTTTACAGAACAAACCATGTAAAAAAATAATCAGTGCAGCCATCTGCAATAAATAAACAGGATAGTTAGTGGTGACTGGGGAGTTTTCTTCTGCTTGTTGAGTTGTTTTATTATTATGTGAACATGATCAACATGTGTTTGTTTTTGTTCAGGCAGGCTACGGGCTACAGCGAACATTTAACAAATCCTAGTTTGAATCAGTAAAAAACGATTCAAGGATTTTTTTCGAACCATTTGAATATTTGTTTCAATATTTTAGCCCTATTAGCTCTGTTAGCAATTAGTTGACCAAATGTAACCGTTAAAATCCCAGTTAACTGGTTCAAAAAATTGAAAACATGCATCATGAGAGCGTACATACCTTTATCTTTCTCCTCTTTTTTTTTCCTGAATGGGGCACCTAGTGGTTTTAGCCTTTTTATGTTCATCTCTTCTGCTCATAATTTTTCGTGTTCACTCAGATGTTGAAATTAAACAAAATGTTTTTGTTACTTGCCTCTTGCATTGCCTATTTACCATTTATGGTCATGCTATTTTATGTGCAATTTAATGCAGTATTTTTCAACCTTGGTCTGCAAGGCAGTGTGCCAATAGTCAGACACACCTGGATTAATCAGTTTGTCCAATGTTGTAAGACAGGAAATAAAAGAGCTGTGCTTAATTCAGGAAATAGTGGAGTTGTGCACAAAGCTCAGAAAGCACAAGTTTGTTTAAAAATAAAAAATGGCACAGCCCCACCAAAAATATTTTTCACCAGCCGCCACTGTTTATGATGTACATTAATGATTGTTTCAGGTGTTGTTGAGGTTTTGTACACGCATGTGTATCTGCTAGTGTTGAACGTGTTTTAGAGAACAATAGGTACGCATGACCACTTCCTTCATAGCACCCTCAATAAAAAGACTAGCTCCTTCATAGCACCTGCAGAAAAAAATTTCTGGAGCTGCCACTGTCTGGAACGTGTGCCGGTGTTTTGTCAATATCTGTCACCTCCTCGAGATCTGTTTTTCCTCCAGTTTTGTGAGACTACACCAGCGTCCAACACAGGGGAAACAAAGTCTACTGGGGATAACTAGATTGCTACAACACCTACTGTGATGTTGCAATTGCAATATTCTGGCCACGGGGGGAGATGGGGGCTGGATGACCTGTAAAGGTACGCACATGCTGGCTCAAGAAAATTATTTAAAAATATGAAAATGTTGCAAATTGTCAGAAGGGGAGGAGTTTGTCTGAACACTGGCATTATTATCCTGTCGTGTGAACCAAGCTTTAGTGAGCATTTAGTCAAAAAAAACTGGCTAAGACTGGCTTCTTTAAATTAATGGAATATTTTCATTCTTTTATGAGGCTCTGAATGACAGGAGTTATACTCAAGGGAAACAAAAGAGCTGCAGTATTCACTTATTATCTTCTTGTAAATGATCTGGCGTCATATGTGAAAAAGTGTTTTGTGTTCATTCCAGAGAAAAACAAGACATCAAAATTAAAGGTTGCAAAATGCATTTTAATGCTGTAGAATATCTTTCCTGTGATTTAAATGAAACTTTATATGTTTCTTTTAGGCTCACTTTTATTAAGATTATTGGAAAGTTAATCTATGAAAATTACACAAAAAGGCGAACTAAAAGCCACACTTCCTTCCTCATTGGCGACTGACAGCACACAGCTCATGAGGTGAAGGAGGGACGGTGAAGCCAACAGCTGGGGTCAGGTCCAGCTCGTCTTCTGAAACTCCAGGTGGAGGCCTGAAGAGAAAGCGTTGACAGAGCGAGGCAAAGAACAGGAAGAGCTCCATCCTAGCCAGACTCTCTCCGAGACAAACCCTGCGACCTGGAAGAGCAAAATGGCTCCAATGCTCATCCATCCATGTGTGTTACCTTTGGAGTCATCACTAACAAATAAATAAACTTATACCTGCAGAAAAGGGCAAGAAGGCATCCCGCTTGATGAATTTACCCTCTTCATTCAAGAAATGAGAGGGGTTGAAGGTATGAGGGCTTTCCCATTCAGTCTCATCATACAGGACAGAAGTAAGGAGAGGAAACACGACAGTCCCCTGAAGGTTAAAGTAGAACAGATTCATTAGTAAACAGTCCTCTCATGCCCTCAGAGATGAATCGACGTTTCTTAAATGAGATCTTGTTTTACTTTTTTGATTAAGTATCCCTGGAAGGTGACGTCTTGGCTGGTTTTGTGTGGAATGGACATGGGAACGACGTTAGCCAGCCTCTGTGTCTCATGGATGACGGCATCGGTGAACGGCAGGTTTTTACGATCATCCACCCGAACATGACGGTTTCCTATCACCCTGTCCAGCTCCTCTTGGACCTGGTCTAACAAACCAGAGAAAGAAATGAGTATTATCTGGACTCTAGCAGCTCTGGAGGTCACCTCTGTCAAGGGCAATGAAGTTTAACTGTGAGAATGTTTAAGTCCAGTAAGAGCAGATTGAAACTATTTTCTTGTTGTATTTTTAAAAATTTAGGATTATATTTACTTGAATTTCTTTACTAGATCAGTCGGTAAATCCAATGGAGCTCCCTGGGAACATTTCAAAAGGAACTTCTACGCCAGTGCCTAAAAGTGTCCCTGTTATCATTCTTATTTGGACCAACCTTGTGGCCAATTCTGTTAATGACCCAGATAATTGTAGCCACACCTTTTCCAAGATCTTGGAGATAAATGAAAGTTTAGAGATGGGTCTGAAGCTGCTATGAACAGGAGTCAAGACTCGTTTTTTTAAGAAGCGGGTGGATTACAGCGTTCTTAACGTAAGCAGGGACCTGACCAGAAACCAGAGAAGCTTTAATTATAGAGAGCACGCTGGGACCGATGGACTGAAAAGCACTTTTAAACAAAGATGAGGGTAAGATGTCGAGGGGGCATGCAGAGGTCTTCATAGAGTTAACTAGTTTGGTTAACTCAGGCAAAGAAACAGGAGCAAAGCTATCTAGGATGATGGGCCTGGTTGGAGTTGGGAGAGGCGGCGATAAGGCTGAAGGAGAGATGCTAGATCTAACCTTATTGACTTTGTCCACAAAGAAAGACAGAAAGTTCTCACAGTCTGCAACAGAGTGGATGGAGGCTGTAGGAGAGGCAGGAGAGACGATGCTGCTGATGGTGTTAAACAGCACCTTGGGGTTCCCTTTGCTCTGGGACACCAGGTTGGAGAAATGGGCAACCCTTCTCTCTCTGACTGCAGTGTTAAAGGATGTCAGAAGGTCCTTTAGATGCAGCAGATGGACGAGGAGGCGGGTTTTCTTCCACAAGAGCTCGATTTATAAAGAGAATGGCAGGTACTGCATTGGTGCTTCAGGCTGTGAATGCTGTCGTTAAACCAGTGAGTAGGAACTGATCTGGTTCTGACAGGACAGATGCTGTCCAGGATGGAGAGGCAGTGCTCCTTAAAGTGAGAAGTTAAGGAGTATTATCAGAAGAATAGGGTGGATTAAAAGCAGCAGAAATGTTGATAGCTGTGCTCTCATTAAGAAAACAAGAACTAACCAGACAGTGAGCAGGAGGTGGGGACACAAAAACTGACAAAGAAAATTCAATGGTGATCTGAAGTGTAAACATTCTCAGGACAAACACTTATTAGCATTTAGACTCAGGGTAAAAACAAGGTCCAGAGTGTAGCGTCATGAATGTCCTGTTTGTGACCTAAAGGTCATGATCTGCTGCGTCTGCTCGAGCAGAGACTTAAAGTCTCTGACACAGGCCTAATCTACATGAGATAGTGGCCAAGGTCTTTCATGCCCTCTGCATCTGAACTGCTTCACCTCTGTTACAGCTCAAGACGAAGACGGAGAACTCTCTTGATAAATACATATTCAAACAACGTTTGTTATTGCCAATAATAATGTGAGCCAAATGTTCAATCAATCTGTGAAATGACAATGTTATTACTTGATATTTCAATCCTGTAATCAGTAGTATTTTACAAGTAATTATAATCCTGGACATTTGCACTAGACACTGATGACACGTAATGCTAAAGTCACACGACACATTTCCTTTTGTCTGATCCAATCAGAACCTTCGTTTCTGACGCGAGGCGTGGTTTTCTGTTGTGTTTGTATAAACCCTCTTTTGCATGTCAAGTTCTGATTTGCCAGTAAAGCAAAATATGACAATTATAAAAACTATTCCACGTCACCTTTTTTTTTTAGTTCAAAGCGTTCTAGAGAAGTCTTGGACAGGCCATCAGGACTTCCTCTTCAGCCAAAAGAACCTCGACAAGCTGGATAAAATCTGTTGCAAGTTACACCTGACCACAACGGTTCCTTCAGAATAAAAGCTGAACCTCACGACCCCTTCAGGGTCTCGCTGACACCCATGATAACCTGTCGTGACCTGGAAGCATTCCAAGACTAGTTTGGTCGGTGCCGCTGCTTTTCTACCGGCTTCGGTTCCAAGGAGGGTCCAAGAGGGCCTCGACATTCTGGATCTAAATGGAGGCTTCCCCTGGGTGCATAGACCGACAGATGGCGTCTCATGTGTGTTATAAATCTCCAACTAAAGTCTAGAGTGAAACATTCACTCCCACTCAGAACTAAATGCTTCTCTGGATCAGCTGGTTCTGATAACAACATTCCACACACACCATCAACTCATGTCTCATTCCACCTAGTCCTTCAGTACACAGAGTGTTTAAAGTTCCTCTTGTTTAAATTGTGTAGAAATAAATTTCTCAACTATTATAAACCTGACTCTCTTTCTTTCCTCAGAGTTAATACAAAGTGTCACGTAATCCCTGCAATAAAAAGTTCTGATCTCTGGTTAAAATATTCAAAGATCCATCAGATTGATATTTCATATTTCTATGGAATCTCACATTTTATGGTTCATAAGTAAGATGTAAACGACCCATTGTTACAAGAGTAAGACCCCTGGTGTGTGTGGGGCCAGAAACATGCTGAATCGAGCTGAGAGAGTCCATACGGCTGGAGAAGCTCATGGCTGAGTTATGGTTTGAGAAAAGGTAATCTATGTTTTATTTATTTAATCAAGGGATGAAATTAAAACCAATTAATCGGTTTTATGATTAATTTTTTAAACCCCATTACTTTTAAACTTAGTTGGAAAATGATCTTAAAAAATTACTGAGAGACTTTGATGCAGAATCTCCAGACAAACAGACCCAAGGTCAGATTTAGAAGCTTTTCTTTAAATAGATTTGTGTGACAGAAAGTTTTACGGTTTGATTCCTGACATGTTTTGGCTTCTGTTGTTAAACATTTGTAAGTCTTACGTAGATATAAACATGAGGACTGCAGAGCTCTACTACAGTCAAATAAATATCTGTTTTCTGTATCCACTTGATCTTGTCCGGGGCTTTAGCTTAATAACTAAAACTAAATAAACAAATCCATGAATGAACATTTGTTCAGTGCAAACAACAAGCTTCTCGATGGCCTATTTTACCCTGAATATGTGGATATTTGGCCAGCAGTAATAAAGCCCATCTCAGTGTTGTAGCTGTGGTGTCAGTGCCAGCAGCAAACAGGTTGGTCACAGTGCATATCAGGTTGTCCTCATGGAAGTGAGTGTCTCTAACATGAGAATCCTACAAGGATAAAGACATTCATAATATAAAACATGCAAGTGCTGCTTTTCTTTAAAGAAGCTTGGCAGAACATTCGGTCTTACCTCATCTTTCTGCTTCTGAATGAGAAAACAGTCGACAAGTCCTCTGCACATCTGAGGGTTCAGAGTTTCCTTCAGCTGTTGGATTAAATCCCTCACATCTCTGATGGACATCTCAGAGTTGTTTTTAATCACCTGTCGGTTTTTTATCCAACCGACCAGCCAAGGAAACATGTTATAGATCTTCACGTAAAAATAAACATGTAAACAAAATAAATAGAAAAGAGTCATTTTACTGAGAACATGGGTGTTACTGAACAAAAAGAAAAAGGGCTTTGTAGATCCAGTATTTCTATAAAGGTTTTGTATGTCACTGCGTTTCCTTTTTTCTGAATGCTGTTTTGATCACAGTATATATGAAATAGCAGTTGTCCGTTAGCTTTAACATTTTTCTGTGAAGATTGATTAAATTAACTTTTTAGTTAGTTCACAACTTTTATTCCTTCAAAGCCAGATATGTGAGATGATAAAACTTAAAAGTCTTTCAAATTGACTTGTTTTTCACAAATGTTAATATAACAGCAAAAAATGACTATAAGACTGAGTTACATATCTACAGCCCTCTGGCGGATGATCTACAGGTGGCAAGGGCCAATTCTATTTCTTTATTACTTTCATGTTGTTTTATAATCACATATTAATATATAACAGGCTATTTGTAGCGGTTATATTAACATCAGTAAAAAAAAATAAGTCAATTTGAAAGACATTTAGGACTTTTAAGTTTACTAATCCTGTTAATCCATCTGGACATTATGGGGCCAGAAATGATTAATGCAAAAAACAGCAACAGTCTACAGGGGGTTAATGTGTTTGAACTCAGGTGGTGCCTTTATGTCACAATTAAGTGTGCAGTTATTTTGAATCAGTAAAGTGAATTCTTGAAGTGTGACCTTTGAGTTGATAGAAGTTGTGTAGGTGACTTTTCTTCTGACAACAAACATTAAGTTGATATGTGTTTTTTCTTCAGATGAAACTAACAGAAATAATTTAAACTCTGTTAAAACTGTATTAGTCAATTTGTTGTACATTATAACTAATTCAAGCCTAACACTGAGCTCACCTGGACTTGGGGTGAACCTGCTTTCTGTATCGTCTCGTTGGCTCGAGTCACCAGCTTTATGAATCGGGGATCATCATACTCAAATCGACTTCCATACACAAAGGAACAGATTATGTTCGATGTGGCAAAATTTAGTGGACGTGCCGTATCAAAAGGTTTACCTGGAAAGACAAAATGAAACGAGGCTGTTTTGCCTTGCTTTTAGCACCCCCTAGTGTCCATTTAGTAAAACCAAAAGTGAAATGCTCCTCCTCATCGTGTGTTTGCCCATTTAACACCTTAATCTTACTGCTAAATGTCTCCTCAGCCTTCATTAGTTTCTACAGGAGCACTTCATCACTAAATCAAACAAATCATCTATGTTCATGATGTAACTAAATTTGCCCAAGAGCCAAAGTTTTTTCCAGCAGACACCTTGCTGGAAAAAAAAACAGTATTGGGATTCTGGTTTATACAATAATATTTTTACTTTTAAAATAAAGTTAAAGTATTATTGTATCTTAATTTATTAATATTTAAAATGGCTTTGCTCTCCATCTAAACTGTTTTGATTGTAGTTTTAGTTGTGGTTGAAAAACGTAAACAATTACTTATACTTGGGACATAAATGTTGCTGCTAAACGTCAAGGTCCCCCAATCTGGGGGCGTTAGGGCCCAGAGGATTGGAGGGTCAGGTGGAAAGATTAGGAGGGAAGAATGTGACCCGCGAGCCACCAGTTGAGGTTCACTGATCTAAAACATGCTGGAAGCAGACTCCAGCGCAGGCATGTCAGCTCCACTTTATTAAGTCCAACAGGTGGTCGGCCACTCTGAAGTTGCAAGTAGATGGTAAAATGGCCTGTATTTGATAAAGCACCTTCTAGAGTCCTTTTACAGGCGTTTTACAACACAATCAGTCATTCACCCATTCACGAGATGAGCTATGATGTAGCCAGTTGCCCCGGGGGGCACTGACAGAGGCGAGGCGAGCACTGGCGTCACTGGTCTCTCCGACCACCACCAGCAGGCAAGGAGGGTTGAGTGTGAGTGTCTTGCCTAAGGACACAACGACAGCGACAAACTGAGCAGGGCTCCAACCTGCAACCTTCCAATTACGGGGCAAGCACTGAACTCCTGTGCCACCATCGCCCTAAGTGTGATTTTCTGGCCACAGAGGGCGGTAGAGGTCTGAGTGACATTTAATTAAGCCTGTAAAGGGTCATTTGAGCACATACTGGCTCAAGAAAATGATTTTAACATGTGAGAAAGTTGCATAGTATCCCTTTAACATGCTCTTCTCAGCTCAATGGACAAAATAGCCAACATAAAACAGTGTCGGCGTCATACCGTTCTGATTGTCAAACACTTGAAGCAGGTGGCTACACTCCTCTAGGATTTTTTCCTCCACTATTCTTTTTCCCATCCCAAAGTCTCTGAGGGTGGAGAGGGCGAAGCGTCTCATCTGCTTCCATGATTCTCCGTTTGCAAACAGAATTCCTTTAAAACACAAAAAGAATCTAGATCTATTTTGCACCAGTGATTTATACTTATCTCATGTTCAAAAGATACTGTAAGATGAAAATATGTATTTCTGGGAGTAAAAATAAATACATAATTTCATAGCTCATTCATGCCTCAGTGCTAAAGACATTTAGAAGAAAGTTCCTACCATGACCTTTATTTACATCAGAGAATATTGGTAAGATGTCTCGTTCTCCAAACTCATCTGCATGGCCGACTAGAGCTTCTTTTACTGCTTTGTACCCAGAAAGGACAACCACTTTCTTTGGTCCAAAATAAACTGTAAATACAGACCCATATTTCTTGGAAAGCTGGAAAAGTTTTTTTTAAAAATGTGTTAATGTAGTTTGTAAACAAGTTCAATTTAACATTTTTTTAAATACACGAGTGAAGCTCACCTCACAGAGAGTCCTGTGGGGTCTGCTGAGATCAAGCTGCAGCAGGTTGCCAAGAAGAGGCAGGTGCCTTGGTCCTGGAGGCTCTGGCCTCCTGTCTCTGGAGGCGAAACTGACAGCAACAAAATAAAGGATGAACAAAATTAAAACAGTTCCCAGAGCTGTGGTGGGGCTGGAAACGAGCAAGAAAATGAAATCCTTCAAAAGCTCCATCTGTGCTAGAGCTGTCTTCATGTCTGACTGGGCAGAGATAACACACAGAGCAGCTTGTGTAGAAAAACTCTAGGGAGCATTACCTCAGCTACAGGCTGCACACACACACACACACACACACACACACACACACACACACACACACACACACACACACACACACACACACACACACACACACACACACACACAGGTCACAATAACCTGCAGAACTTAACTAACTGGATTTTAAGTGGCTTTAGGCAAAAGCCAAATACAGAAACATAAGCTTGATGGATGCTTTCTTCACAGCTGGGAACACAGACATCCTCATGTTAAAAACACAAATGTTTTACAGCCTTTCCAGAAACAGCTGTTCATCTCCAGATGTGCAGCTCTTTCATCAAAGTAAAAAAAAAGTTTTCATTCTATGGTCTGTATGTCGCTGTGTAGCGCCTTTCAGAGTCAGAGGAGTCCAAAGCGCTTTACACTAGTATATCATTCATCCATTCACACACACATTCACACGCTGGTGGGGATGAGCTACATTGTAGCCACAGCTGCTCTGAGGCTCACTGACAGTCTGGACTTGTAGCATGCATTTTAAATATGATTATCAGAAAATCAACCTAACAAACCTTTTTTGTGATTATTTGAGTAGTGAAACCCTAACGAAATTCAGATTCCCCAGTTGCCGTTGAAAGTTTCATCTGCCGTAGAACCTCCTAATCCAGTGAGCTACTTTAGTATAGCTCCTCAAATTACAAGAACATCTAATTGCAGGTTTTTAAAAAGGTATCAGGTGTTTGTGGAAAAACTGGTTTCTAAATACCGCCTTTGGCGGCTGGAGTGATGATGCATTTAACTAAATTCAGAAGGGTTAGTTATTTTATCAGTCTTTTAAAATCTGCTGTGAATTATAAACCTCACAGAAATCACATTTCTAAAGCATTTCACACTCTTGACTCTTGACTTATACATTATAGATTAAAAGCATTGAAGCAAATGATTAATAGCATATGCACTCATCTATGGGTTCATCACACATTCTGATTTACAGTAACTATATAGAACCTGAATGGTAAATGGCCTGTATTTATATAGCACATTCACTCCTCCTCATTCACCAGTAAATATCCAGAGAGCACCTGTTACACCAAATTCTGCGACCCATTGCAATCTGTGACCCCAGAGGGCAGTGTTGTGTTTTGTTGCGTCTGTACATCCTGAATTGACATAAAAGAAGAAGATGCTACGTTCAAATCGTAAAATAGTACGTAAGCTTTGAGGAAGCCGTGTGGCGCAGACCATGGATATTAGAAGAGCGTTTGTTAATGTATGTTGCAAACAAACAGGACAATAAATGCTGTGTGATGACCAGGGCTTTGACAAGAAGTGTTTGCTAACATCAAACATTGATTTTACAACATGCGAGGTCCGCAGGTAAAATGTTCAGAACTTCCATTTATTGAAATAAATTGTGATCCACATCCTCAGTTTATTAGAAACCACTGCAGATTATCTGGTTGCTACTTTTTTTTTCTGTCACTCCAATGCTTCTCATATGTACTGGTGGAGATAAAAGTGAAATAAAATGACACAAACATCACAAAACGCCTTTAGTTATGTAAGGTGAGGAAGTATGGGTTTTCTGTGCCAAAGGTTGTATTTGCCCGGCTGGGTCAGAGCTGGGTCACGCAGCAACTTTCACCAACTTTCACCCACAGATTAAGACCTGAGCCGACAGCAAGTCTGCAGGAAACCACAACATCCAACACCTGCAGCTCCAGAAGAAGGAGTTCTCACACAGTCTAGTCATAATAAAGAGTCTTACGCTTTCTTTGTTTATTAATGCTAAATAATCAATTTATCACTTTGCTCATTATAAATGTATTTTAATCAAATGAATTATTATTATGCTTCGGGTAATCATAATGAACTATAATGAATCAGTATATTTAATTAAATAATGTTTTTGGAGAAGTTTGGTGATGACCTTCACACTCGCTCACACAGGTCTGGATTCACAGTAACTCCAAAACACATTTGCTCTGACGCACAAGTTTGCTTTGGAAAGAGAAGTGGTTTTTGGTAAGTTAGTCTGAACGAGAGTGACAACGAAAGAGAGAGGACGTGCGGTACCAACGCCACGGGGAAAGGAGCCCTGCCCCCCCCCCCCCCACACACACACACACACACACACGCTATTTCTGTCAAGCCAGACAGGATAGCTGAAATGCAACCAGCTAACGCAGACTTGTCCCAGAGTCTTTGATTTCTGAGTTAATTTAAACTTGAGAAAGCACATCTGCTAAACGCTTCATCAACGTGTACCGAGGTCAACTCTGGACTGGACCGTCAGCACACCTTCGTCTTCTCTGCCAGCCAAGGTGTCACCTGGATGAAACATCCTCCTGTGACGTCCAGATCTAAAAGAGGGTCCTAAGGTCGGTGAGGCAGAACACAATAGATAGCGTTCTGATGCAGTTTTTCTAATAAGAACTAAGTTTAATTCAAACCATCATTTTTCACTCAGATTCACCTTTTCTCTCCCTGAAGCAATCTCAGACACATACATGCACGCATTCATAATTCCATCATTCTCAAATCTTAGCACATCCAACACAAGGTCTATTTGTGCAAGCTTAAAATATCAATTGTTAAAGATTGTCCAACAAGGTTGCCAATGTTGATTATTTTTCCTATGATTGTCGTTTCAAATCATTAGTTTAAATTGAAGAATTAAAACTCTTAAATTTCAAACTTGTCTTTTCATTGAACTGAAACACAGACAAACGGATATGATCGTCAGTTTATCGATGAAAACAACCTTCGAGTCTTCTTATCTCTATAAAATTTGGTTATTAATTTATTAAAATTAATATCTCAAATTATTATGTAGGATGGTTCATCTTTCATAAAAGAGCAATAAACCATTACGCTACAGTTATTATCTGTAGTGAAAATTAAAGACATCTGCATTGTTATTGAGATACAGATGGCCACATTCTGTGATAACCACTATCATATTGTGTGACCTTACTATAACTTCAGTTGTAATGACTTTTACATCACACAAACTGTTTCTGGTAACTTCTCTGATGATGTAGTTTATAAAAAAGTGCATTTGACCTCTGACATCTGCATTCTTACTGAGATGCAGATGGCCACATTCTGTGATAGCCACTATCATATTGTGTGACCTTACTGTAACTTCAGTTGTAATGACTTTTACAATACACAAACTGTTTCTGGTAACTTCTCTGATGATGTAGTTTATAAAAAAGTGCATTTGACCTCTGACATCTGCATTCTTACTGAGATGCAGATGGTCACATTCTGTGATAGCCACTATCATATTGTAGCGGTCTGCACCGCCCTCTAGCGGGGTGTGTGTGAAGCAGCAAAGAAGAGTCGACAGGTGGCAGACACTTTTAATAGCCGGATGGCTCCCCTTTTCATCCCCCCACACGTACATTTAACTCACGGTGCCAACAGGCACCGGATAAGAACAACACAACATGAACTCTGAACTGAAATAAACAACACTAACATAACCCCGAACAAAATAACCCTAAGAACACCACAAACGGAATAAACAACCCCAATTTACTGTCCCCCCAGAGTGCAATGCGACCTTGCCGGCCTATCAGTGGCAGGGCCTCCACAAAGCCCCCCCCCCCCACCCCCCCCCACCCCCAATAAAGGGTTAAGTGTCCCACAACCCTCAGTCTCCCATCTCAAAGTCCTGGAACCGGTCCGGCCAGCGCTGAATGCGCGCACCGGCCTCCCTGGTCTCAACGTTTCCTCCCCAAGTCCATCCACAGCCCCATCAGCAGCCAGTTGCCCCCCGGTCTGTGGCCGGTACGGTGCCAAATGGTCCTTGTGGAGGACCACCCGCCTACCTCGTCCAGGCAGGCGAACCCGGAAGACCACCGCAGAGATCTGGTCCAAAATTTCTGTGGGTCCTTGCCAGTGGCTCATCAGTTTGGGGGACAGGCCCTTCTTCCGGGTTGGGCAGTAGACCCAAACCTTGCCCCCCAAAGCCACTGAGGGTCCATGAGCTCTGGAGTCAAACACCCTCTTCTGGCGAGCTCCAGCCACTAGCAGGGTGGTCCGGGCCAGCTGGTGGACTTCTTCCATCCACTCCTTTAGGCATCGCACATAATCCAGTCCCCCCCCCCCCCCCCCCCCCCCCACACACACACACACACACACACACAATCTCTGGTTCTGGAGCCGGCCCAAACATCAGATCCACTGGTGTCCGGAGCACCCTCCCGAACATCAGCGCCACAGGAGTGCTCTGGCTGGACTCTTGCACCACAGTGCGGTACACCCACAACACCATCGGCAAATTTAAATCCCAGTCTCTCTGATGTTTGCTGGTGAGGATCGCCAGCTGAGTCACCAGAGTGTGGTTAAACCGTTCCACCAGCCCATCACTCTGGGGATGCAACGGAGTGGTTCTAGTCTTTGTCACCCCCAACCGCTGGCACACGTCACCGAACAGCTGGCTCTCAAAGTTTCTCCCCTGATTGCTGTGCAGCTCCTCAGGTACTCCAAAATGAGAGAAATTCTCGTCCACCAACCGCTGAGCTGTAGATGCAGCACTTGGATATGGCATCGCGTACGCTTCTAGCCACTTGGTGAAGTAGTCCATGGCTACCAGAACGTAGCGATTCCCAGCCTCTGTAGTGGGAAAGGGCCCGAGGATGTCTACCCCGACCCGCTCCATCGGTGCTCCAACCAGGCAGCGCTGAGTTGGCCCTTTTTGGCTGGTGAAAACGTCGCAGCAGTGAACGTGGTGCTCCGCGTCCTGACGGCAGCCCGGCCAGTAGAACCTCCGCCGGAGCCATTGCACCATTTTGCTGTTGCCAAAGTGTCCCGTCTCCGCTGCCCCATGAACCCAGTAGAGGACTTTTGCTCAAAAGTTTCGTGGCACCAGCAGCTGCAAGCGGTCCATCCCTCCTCCCGGTGCCTGCCAGCACCGATACAGCACATCTCCATGCAACTCCAAGCTGCTGAACTGTGAGTGCAGGTTCTTTAATTCAGCCCCACACGAGGATACGGTGGGCCACTCTGGTCTCTGG